TGCATAGAGGGGGAGGGTGCTAGGGCCAGTTCTCTGGCTCCCAGGAATTAACCAGGGAAATCTGGCTTTGGGGAATTTTCCCATGATAGCCACAACTTCAGAGGAGCCTTGCCTTGGCCAGCCTTGCAGCATTTAGAGTACATGGAGATAACCAGCTGCCTAAGGGTTATTTATTTGTCACACCAATCCTCATCCTGATTAGAACATGACACTTTGATAAAAGAGCTGTTACCTACATTATAGTTAAGACTGCAAATTGGCAGAGAAGACTTGCTGTGAACGGCACATTTAAACTCGCTTAAGTTAATATTTTTAAAATTAACAGGGGGATAAGGACATGGAAGAACAGAAATGTGTTCATCTCTACTTAGTTAACACATACTGCAACAGGGCAAAATCCTAGTGAAGACCAACAGATTTTTGTATTCATGTACATTAGACTTGGTTGTCTAACTTCTGAGTGGCTGGGGACCATGGACACTACAAGTCCCCCCCTCCACAGGTTGTTCCCCCTGACTCTTGAAGCAAGGGCAGACAGAGGAAGCTGGGAGAAGGGAACAGGAGCCTGGAGATCACAGTAGCAGCAACAACAGCAGCAAGAGCAATGCAGGGAGCAGTGCCCAAGCAGGAGCCCACAGGCCACAAATACACTGTTCATTGGCCAAATGCAGCTCACAGGCCTGTATCTGGACAGCTCTGCATTAGCAGATTTTAATAAAAACTACCTGAGGATTGGGGTTTACCTTGTCCTACACTCACTTGCAGTAAAACTATAGCTGACTTGTCTTCACTAGGGTTTTTACCTGTTTTTCATTGCTACATGTTAGTTAACATGAGTCTTCACTTCCAAAACCCTTCATAATACATTTCTTTCCCACCTGTGTTTCATTCGGTATTAAGGGGTCAGCTCCCACAATGCCAGCCTCCACTGGTCTGATTTTCCAACAGGCATCTTCATGCTTTCTCCCATGCTGCCCCTTACAGCTGGCAGGAGTCCCTGTAGACATCCGCAAAGCTGTCTCAGTACCCTTTTTTGGAATGCTTGCTTAAAACTCTTTTCTGCAATACTGTAATATCCAAAAGGAACTTTACAAGCATTACGCTATGGATGGTGTTACAGCTACCACCAATATAAATGATGAATGTGGGGTGGATGAATAGGACACAAGCCCCAGGTTCTGACTCAAGAAAGGGCACCAGAATGGCTGATGCCCAGGCAATCAGAGTAGAGAGTGGCGGCAGCAGGCAGCCTCACTCTGATGTCAGGGCAGATACCGCTGCTGGTGAATGTGCCAAGGAAACCAGCAGCTAGCAGGTTAACAGAGCCATTTTTGGGTACTGCTCCCCAGCTGCCTTTTGCCACTGCCATATTTAACTTTTCTAATCATGCCTGGTGACACCATTCAATGGTGGGGCTCTGTTAATCCACTGGCTACTGTGCTACAAGAGCTCTGCCAGCAGCTCCGGCTCCAACACATCATACAGCAGGTTTGGCTTAGGGTGCAAACCTGCCCAGTTATGCCTCTGATGGCTACTGCCATCATAATGACCAACATCACCCCACTGTTTCCTGTGCTTGCCTGTCTGTTTTCATCCCTTAACTTGTACCTGGAATATAAGCTCTCTCTTCTGTATTTATATAGCACTTCACTGACCCTGATCCATGACCAGGGTTCCTAGGCACAATGATAATACAAAACAACAAGTGAAGAACATACTTTTTCCTTTAACAAAAGTAATTTTGTTGACCTCACAAGCCTTTTGATCAATTGTAGCAGCAATAGGATTAGGTACAAAGCAAAATTAATACTTATACCTTGCTACACAGCTACAGGCTTTTATGTTCCCAGACAACAACTTTCATCCATAGTATCTTTTTCTCCCACAAAATTTAAGTAAAGGACCAGAATTCTCATCTCTTGTCTTTAATCCATACAGAATTTTTTCAGAGAATACAGGTACAGATTCAGAAAGGTACTTAAAGCTTAAACTTAGGCCCATGCTTATCAAGGTTACAGGAAAACAGAACATCAACTTTACCCACATTCATGAAAAACAATAAAGCCAAAGTTCTGAGCCAAGCAGCCAAACCAGGTTCAGAAACTGTGGCAGGGACACCTGAAAGGTAGGCAATTCCTTTAGGTCGCCAAATAACTCTGACATAAAGAATGTGGCTGGCCTTTTGCTTCAGACTCCTTTGCCAATGCAGCAGTGTTCCCAGGAAAAAGAAGTCATTGGAATTCTTTTCCACAGAAACTGTACTCTGAACAAGTTCTGCAGTGCCTAGTCTAAAGTATATGTAAAATATGAAGCACATTACTGCATTCTTGGCACTTCCTTTGTCTATTTTATATTCTCCTTTGGATTTCCTAGGAGTTTTCATTTAAAATAAATACCTAAAAGAACATTTGTATGGAATAAAGATGGTGTAGGCCTACCTTTAAGAGGTCAAAAGGCTTCTCAGCTTAAAGATTTTAATTGAAATTGACAATTAATACTTAAGCGATAAATAATTCATCCTCTATTTGGAATTTATCAAAAGTCCCTTTTCACATCAGTCCAGCCAAAACTGGCAAACATTTGTGTCGTTGTATTTACTATGCCAAGATCTTCAAACTGGGTAGAAATTCAAGCAACTGGAAAAGAAACGCTTTACAGAAGTACGATGTAACATATGCACTGAGATGCAAATACTTGCTGCTAAATTTCTATTTCCTTACCTCTCTTTAAAAACAATCCTAATAAGCAGGCCTCAAATACTTACCATTGCTAACCATACGTCTGGCAACTTCCCAGAGAACCAGTCCGAAAGCCCAGATGTCAACCCTTTTATAAGAATCAAAACAGTCTGCTTGGATGGTTTCGTCCAACACTTCTGGAGCCATATAACGCTTGGTACCCACACGAGGGTTGTTCCCCACATCCAACTGATTAGTGCTTTGGGAGTGCATAACTGCAAGACCTGAATCATAGAAAGCACCGCTGTTAAATTTGTTCTTGTATTATGGGTATCTGTGAATTCAAACTACATACAAGGGATATATACACATTCCATAAACCAAAAAGTTACTTGAAAACAAGCAATCAACTAGGTGCAGCTGTACAAAGAATAGCTGTGTCAGCTCCAAAGTTGCTAAGTGACAGCAAAAAAACAATCAGTTTGGCCATAGACTTAAACCAACTATCTCTTAAAAGATTACCACCAACCACGTATATTGCACTGTTATAAAGCATTATCATTTCAAGGACTAAGTGTTTTGCAGCCACTGGATGTCATCGTTACTCTAGGCACGTATAACCAGAAGGCCAGGCATCTGTTACTTAAAGAAAACAATTCTATCCAGAGTTTATATGTATTTATGGATCTTTTGGGTAGGTGGATGCGTCTGAACTGTGGCTAAGGAAGAAGAAAAATACTGCATGACCAATCCAGGAGTTTAAAAAAAGGCCACACACGCACGCATGGTGAAAAGTAAACATCCTTAAAGTGGTCTGAAATGAGTCAGCCAAAACCACTTTACCTGGTTAGCACAAATCTCCAAATATTAAAGCAACGAACATTATGAGAGAGACTAAATTATAGTAAATTTGGGAATGCAAAGCACCAGTTTTCCCATGGTAAACAGAATCACTCCAAATTGAACAGCAATAGCTGTATGACATTACCGATAATAAAAACACTCTTCCCGACTTCCTCACCCAGTTCTGGAAGAGCAACACGTACCACTTAAATTTAACAGGAATTTATTTTAGCTACATCTTTATAAAGCTTCTAACACAGACTCCTGAAATGTTAAACTCCAGATCATTACTGGATGCCTGAGTCTTTTGTCAAAACATAGTCTCTGCTTCACACTGCAAGAATTTGCAAATACTTTCTTGCAGTTTAAGTGCATTTCAAGTCAATTTGAAGTTGCACATCAAATTCTCTCTTTTTTATTACTGAAGAAGATACTATAGCAAGTCTGCTCTTCAGCTAAGTAGATTCTTTCTGAATCCTGGAGGTAAACTTAACGGAGCAATTTTCTCGGCAAACTTTGGGAACACAACAGTTTGAGGAATCTGATGATATGATCATTGCCTATCCAAACAAGGCAAAATGCAGGCTTCTCCTGTATAAGATCCAACAGACTGACAGGTCAAGAGTTTAAGGTTCAGGGACACGAGTCAATCTCATTCTACCCTACACGCTAAACAGTTTTGCAACCAGGTCAGGGGACAACTGTTTTGTAAGCAGGTCCTCAACATGGTGGCATTTGTACCATTTTTTGACCTCTAGAGATATTGCACTGTTTTGAATGCATTTGTTTTTCACCTCAGGAGACATGGGTGTTAATCTGAGTTGGGGGAAACCAAGTGCTAGTCAGGGCATCAAATTACTACAGACTGACAGGGAATGTGTTAGGGGCAAGAGGGAAAGAAAAGTTTGAAAACCGTACCAGTTCCATCTCCAAAAACAAAAAAGCATTCAATAGGTTACCTTTGGGATCATTAGTACAATGGACTATTTTGTCTGGAAGTTATTAAACAGTGAGGAGACAACAATATAACTACTTGGGTAGATTTGCTATTGGTTTCAGAAAAAAATGGCATTCAGTGTCCTTCAGTATGCATAAGCTTTGGTCTGTTCTGTATTAGAAAGCTATTGCATTACTATGAATCATTTTGGTTATGGATTTCTTTTGTCACTTCTATTAACTATAAACTAGAATCTACCTGTATTGAGTAACAATCCAGTGGAGCTAGCTTAATGTATAAGACTTGGCAATGTGCACGTCAGAACAATTTTTTTTGTCTAAAGAATTAAGGAACCTGCTCTTAATTTGATTCACTGGCATATGTAGTGCATTATATTACCTAAGTCACTGCTTTACTGACCATGTTCTGGAATAGGATTTGAGTAATGCACCTCTAAAGCTATCATAAGCTGTGCTGCATTCAGTTTTTATCTGACCACAATTTTCAGGTTGTTAGCACCACTGCCTTAGAGTACTTGCTAAAAAGGTAGGCACAGAAAAATACTCACCTCGGAACAGGGAGGAAGGGAAAGGAAGAGTGTGTGTAGGGGAGGAGTTGGGGGAGAGAAGAGAGACCACAAAATAATTAAAAACAGGATGGGCACCCAGAAGGACTTAATTCATCCTAGATGCACAATACCTTCTTTAGTTAATCTCTTTTAGAGAAAATGAATGAAGAATGCCCTATAAATAAATGCCTGAGGTTTCATATAAATAGCCATTTTCTCACCATTATAAAATATATTACAGCAAAAATAAGTAATTTCCATTCCACCTTGGTGTGAAAACACCCACCCACCACCTGCAGTATATTTTGACATTTTCAGATAACCTAGTACAGAAAATATGTACAGAGAACTACTGTGGTTATGAGTCAAAAGCAAAATAAATTAAATCATCCATTTTCTATTTGCTATATCCTCAGAGGAGCCAACCCTGAGGAAATGGCTGTTATCATTACTCACGGGCAACTGCATTTATGTTGGTCACTGTGGCAAGGTGGGGTCCTTGGCTAGCCACGGAGCTAGCTTCCCACCTGCCTCTGGGCACGCTGGCTACCTGTCTCACCTGCCACACCTTGTTAGTAATTAATAATGTTGTTAATTAAGGTGGGAGGCAGCCCATTGTACATCCCAATACTGGGGGGGCTATACGCATCTCTGTTCTACCCTTACACTGTGGCCCAAGCATCGCAGATGGCATATCAGGCAGTTAGCTCAACCGTCGCCTTCACCCATTAGCTGTGGCCCCCAACCCTGGGGACCTTTGGTTTCCATAAGCCCTGGCCCCGTCTGAGGCCCAGTTGGGAGCCCGTGCTCCTTAGCTCTTTGTGGGCATCCATCGCAGAGGGCCCCTGGCCCTTTTGACCCTTTGGTCCTGGCCCCAGCATTGACCAGTCGAGTACCTCAGCAGGGTTTTCACCTCCTGCCTCCACTTATGGGTTGGGGTCCCCCATTCCCGGCTCAGGTGCTCCTGGAAGCGTGCCTGGCCGTGCAGGGTCACTCCCCCCAGCAGGCTCAGGCACCTCCAGAAGCTTACCTGGCCTGCCCTGCTCAGATGTTATATGGCCCACCGGAAGGTGAGGGCTGGGATTAAGGTGCCCCTACTCGCCTTTCACCGAGGTGATCACTGGCCTGGCATTTTCTGGGGGCTTCTGCACCATGGAGAGCCCCACCAGGCCACCCACTCCCGGCAGGGTGCAGTTTTAGGTCATGCCCAGGACCAGAAGCCTCCAAACCATCGCCTACAGCTCCTGCCCTTACCTCCAGGATGTTCCAAGCAGCCTTGCAGCCAGGCAATGTTACTGCCTGGCCTGCCAGCAGCAAACTGCCATGTTTATATAGGCAGCCATAGATCAAAAATGGCTGCTGCAATTAAGCACCTGTTGGCCACTTGGCTTGGCCCTTAAAGTAGCAGGCACCTACAGGCACTGCCAGTCACCAGTCCTGACTGTTCTACATTTGGGTCACTAGGATATTGAGATTTATGCAAAATATATCCTCCTAAGAAATATCCTTCAATGTGTTTGGAGTCCAGGTGATTATTTCATAATTTTCAGTGTACAATATTAAGAGGACTGTTTTACCCTCTTTTTTCTTTTATCTTCTTCTTGCTCAAATAGAAACACTCATCCCAAAAGATCTTGCATATTATTGAGCCACTTTAATTTGTCTCATCATTTGCATTTGCCTAATTTAAAATTCACACCAGTTATTCAGGAAGTGCTTTTTTCACTTCCACAAAGCATGATCAAACCTGCTGGGGTCAGCGAGTCAAGTCTTACATTGCAAGCAGCAATAAGTTTCACCAGCATGATATTAAGTTGTTAAAAAACAAAAAAAATTTATCTTGGGGCAGGAAGTACATAAATATATCATTCTTAGTAAGATCCCAGCCCAAACTAACTCCCACTACTTCAGAGATGGATAAAACTCTAAAGTATTGTTTGCTCTTGAATTTCAAAAGGAAGCACTCAACAAATGACAAAAGGAGAAAAAAAAGAAGAAACCCTTGTGATCCAACTTATTTTTAAAAAAATGTTATAATACTCCACCACATTTTCTGAACTAGACAGTATTTATGAAACTGTAAAAGTTTTATTTACTGATGAAGACTAACTACAGAATTAATCCAACACTGAAGATGCTGGCAAAAATCAGAAGTGATGCTAGGCTTATTCACCTGGAACAGATTCCTTTCTAACTTCTACATGCCCTCTAGTGGCAGTCATAATTTTCAAGGCAATTCCAAAACACACACATTTAGGCAATTTTAAGGGACTTGCATTACATAAGGAACATGCAGTTTAGCACACTAAAACTCACCTAAATCTGCTATGCAGCATTGTCCATTTTTCTTAACAAGGATATTTTTGCTCTTCAAGTCCCGATGCGAAATAGCAGGCTTCCCTTGTGTCCCAAATATCTCTATGTGCAAATGTGCAAGACCACTGGCTATGGACAGAACTATTCGTAGACAGCTGACAGTATCAAGCGTTGTGAGCTGTAGATAGTCGTACAAAGACCCCATTTCGTGATAGTGTGTAATTAACCACAACTGGGTGCTAGAGTTTCTGGAGGTCATATCTGAAGCAATAAAACCTGAAAAGACAACATTAGATTTCAAAGCTTTCAAGTCTAAATGACCAAAGTATCATTTACAGTGTTCTTGTCATTTAAAATCAAAATTGAAACAGTCTTCTGCTGTAATGTCACTTTGGAAAAAAATAATATAAAAGGAAAATCTTAAATATATTTTTGTGATTAACTGAGTTATATCAGTAAAGTTTTATTTGTGGGCCCACAAAAAGGACATACAAAATAAGCTTTCTAAGAACATTCACCTCCTCAAAGTTTAGTTGTAACACTAGTGCTACATTTTTATGGTTGTTACCAAATAATGTTTGTTTTCAAGAGGAATTACGGTAAGTATAATGTTTGTAGCTTTGATTCCTAATAATTTGAACAATTCAGCAATTGACTGCTACAATAATCAAAACCAGATCAAATATTATTTACATTTCCAAAATTAAATAAGCATCACTCCATAGCTCTAATCACCCTGAACACAATTATAATCATTTCATTGGTACATACCTCTTAATCTGACTCTAACAAAAAACAATCCAAGTACCAAACGGAAAGCAACCTGCACTGCACTCCACTATAAAAGCCTATCGTTTACTCCAGGAGCGGGCAATTATTTTGAGCGGAGGGCCACTTACCCAGTTTTGGCAGGCTGTCGAGGGCTGCATGGGTAGCCCTGCCCCTTAAAAGGTGCCCCGCCCCCTGGACGCCATCTTGGGACCAAACGTCCCAATGTCCCAGGGCCAGCACTGGTGGGGCCCAAAGAGGGGTGCAGGCTGGCAGGGGTCCGTGGAGCTGGGCTAGGCTGCACCAGCAGGGAGGGGGGAGCTGGCCCAGCTCCATAGAGTCCCTGCCAGCTGGGACCCCACGCTCCTGCCACCCTGCTCTGGGCCCCACCAGCACTGGCCCCGGGACACCAGTGTGGGCCCCATGCTCCCACAGGCTCCCCGCCTGCTCACACCCAGTGCCCCCCAGCCCCACGGTACAAGTGGAGGGCAGCACACAGCCCTGACCCCCTGCTTGCCAGCAGGGAAGAAGCTGGTGCTAAGTGTGGGGAAAAGTGGCCCCTCACCCACTCCATGGCTGGCGCCCTGTGCTACAGGCGCTCACAGGCCGCATGAGGCTGTCCAGAGCAGGCACAGGAAGCCCCAGACAGGCTGCAAGCGGCTGCAGCACAGGGTGCTGGCCATGGGGCAGGCAAGGGGCCACTTTTCCTAGCGCTCAGCACCAGCTTGTAACCCGCCCCATTGCTAGCCTGGCAGAGGGGCCGGGTTACAAAGTGGTGCTGAGTGTGGGGAGGGGGGAGAAAGCAGCCCCTCCCCTCCCCATGCACAGCACACTGCGTTGCAGCCGCTTGCAGCCTGCCTGGGGCCTGTGAGCGCCTACAGCACGGGGTGCCGGCCATGGGGCAGGTGAGGGGCCACTTTTCTCTGGCCAGAAAAGGAGCCCAGGGAAAAGCTGAGCGCAGGGGGGAAGTGGCCCCTTCCCCGCCCCATGCCAGTGCCCCACGCCACAGGCGCTCACAATCTGCATGGGGTTGTCCGGAGCAGGCAGAGTCAACCCCATGCGGGCTGGAAGCAGCTGCAGCGCGGGGTGCCAGGAGTGGGGGGGGGGGCTGCTTTCCCCCACCCCCTGCTCCTTCCTTGCCTGGGGTCCTCCCCCCCACCAATTACCTGACCTTCCCATGCCAGGACAGTCACGTGCTCCCAGCCCAGAAACCCCAGAAGGGGCTTCTGGCTGGGAGGCAGGGCTGGGTGGGCCCACTGTTGTTGGAGCCCGCTGGGCTTCCCCTGGGTCCTACTGTCCTTGGTTCCTGTTTTTTTTTTTTTGGTTTTTTTTTACAGGACCCAAGGGCAGAGAAATATTAATTTTCCAAAGTTTTTTTAGGGGCCCCGCAGGCCGGATAGAATAGCCTTGCAGAGCAGATCCGGCCCACAGGCCATATTTTGCCCACCCCTGATTTACTCTCTACCCAAAAGTTCTCCTATATGCCTAAGTTTTATAACTTGCACTGGAGAGCAACTAGTTCAAGCTATCTTGGGTCCAAGAGTAGGATTTTAAAGCTGTGGAACCTGCACAGAAGTCCAATTCCAGCATCTCTCTCCTGTGACTCTACCTGTGTTACACTGGGGAGAGTTAAGACACAGGGCCCAGCCCTGTGTTTTAACTCTTTAAGTCCTTATTGGTCAAAAACAATAACTTAAAAATTTTACCCGAGGCCAAGAAACAGCCCATACAAGTCACAAAGAGCAGGTATCAGTGTGTTTCAGGTGAACTAATCTGCTAAGCAAGCAGGCAGACATGTTCTACACCTGTTAACGTTTCAGATTTAAAGATGCTGATCTACATGGACAGCTATAAATAGCCCAAACTACTGACTGAGATCTGTCTGGAAAATGAAATACTGCTCCTTTCTGACCAAAGGTATTTGGAAGAATAGTAGACTTTGTCACAGTAGCTATTTGATCAATGTCTGCTTTATAGATAAATGACAGATCTTCAGATTACGAACTCATAGTAGCCAGGAAAAATACACCCACAATCAAGGCAGTCATGATTTATCATATCTTTTAAATGTTTCCTTCAAACTTTCACCAACAGGTAAATTTACATGGGTTGATCATCAAAAAGCTTGTTCTCCAGATGCTGGACAGACCACTTGAGGATTGCTGTAGCCTGACAAATTAGCAAAACCTCAAGGCTGCTCTATACTGCTCTAGGTACCAAAGCCACCCAAAAATATCCCATCCAACTACAGATCAGTAGGACATAAAGATGGTGGCAAATTGCCAAGCAGAGCCTGACAAGACCAAAAGACTAGAGCACTATCATAACAAATTCTTCTCACCTAAATACCAGGTAACTAAGATGAGGTGCTCACCTGGGTGGAGTGAATACAACTACTTACAGTGGCTCAATTTGTCTTTATAGTGTAAGAACAATTTGTTTTGTAAACCGAGGAAGGACAACTTTCTCCTCATCCCCAACCCAAACTCTTTTCAGAACTAAAGTTCTAGATGAGATCAAAACCCAGACTGGGAGGCAAAAAGAGATTGAGCTGCTCCTACTATACCATACTGTTTACACACAATTGAAGTGAACAGCTCTTGCCCTGGAGGCAATTAATGTTCCTCCTGTCACCTAAAAGTAAAAATGTAATGTTTATTATAAACCCAGACAGATGTATCCCAGAGGAGTTGAGAGGATACAATGCCACTTGCTTTCTTTCAAGAAATCAATTATTTTTTGGTAAAGTGCAAGATTACTTGGTACTGAACCTTAAACATTCTAATTGCCAAACTTGACAGTTAATCTTTCTTGACCATTATTTAAAAAAAGACTGAACACCACTGTACTGGAATATGGTGACAATGAATATTTCAGCCAAATCAGTAATCTCTCAGGAAGGAAAGCTCAAAAACTCATGCCCTGAGGGTGATGGTATTATTTTTTAACAACAAAGGAAATCATTTCAGTAAACACGAGACTAACATTAAAGACACTGATCCACAGGGCTGCTGGAACATTCTTCAACAGGAAAACAAAAAGGGGTCTAACAAAACTGTCTGTACTGAGACAGGTTGTAGGTAAGTATGTCACTAGACTAGAGAGACTTGCTGGTGCATCATTCTAAGAAATGAAAAGCTGAAAAGGTTGAGATTGTGTCCACACGGAAGGAAAGGGCCCTCCTAAAGCACAAAGTGCAACTGTAGTTTAAGATGTGCATGTGTGATGAACTTAAAGGAATAACACATTTATTTAGATCTACGCAGAGAGCTGTAACAGGAACAAGTAACAAAAATGGCAATAGGCCTCAGTAATAATCAAAAATATTAGGACACATTTATTTACAGGGAAAATAGGTGACTATGAAGAGCAACTCTAATTGAAGCCTGAACTTTAAAAGGAGATAAATCTGATTTCAACATAAGCCCTGGGGGGAAAAAAGTTAAGAACATCGTAACAAAAATGGATAATCTGGGTGCTCTGTTTCACAGTAAGGAACATAAGGTTACAAAACACAACACAGCATTAGATTATATCCTGGAGCTAGAATCAAGACATAACAGTTACAAAGGTAAAACGGTAAAAGTTAGAAGGTAGGAATAGCCGTAAGGGTGCAGGAGGACACCAGCTAGGAAAACAATGCAACCTTAGGCCTATGATATTTTAACATATTTAAAAGGTGAAGACAAGGGCATTGTATTTCAACAAGCGAGGGTTCTATCTTTAACCAACCACCTAATTTAAATTTAGTACACTAGTCCCAAAGACCATGGCATCTATATTAACTCAAGTTACCTTCAGGTTAAGTGCACACGCTTGAAACATCTTGTGTTACAGTTATTAGTATGTGCAAACTTAGGAAGTGTGTTTATGGCATACATTGTAGTCAATAGTAAAATTTCTTAAAAATAGGTAAATCTCAATAGCCTCATAAAGATCCACATCATTTAAGCAACAACTAAGACAATTTTTCTTAAGAGCTAGTTTTACTGTTTTTAACATCCTTTTTTCATACCTAAACAACATGTCTGTATCCAGGATGTCATGAGGAATATTAAGGTTCAAATACTTGAGTGCATAGAATCATAGAGAAGTAGGGCTGGACGGGACCTGTTGGGTCATCTAGGCCAACAACCTGCCTGAAGCAGGATCATTCCTATCCAAACCATCCTATACAATCCATAATCCAAACTCTTCACAAGACTACCATCAACCCTGCAATGCAGACCTAACACTCTAACCTGACACAGATAAGCAGGGGAATCAGCAGCCAATGTTCTACTTCTATAAGATATTCTTAATACACACTCAAGAGCTCCAGGGTACAGGGCTGCTCCCCCCACTATAGAGGAAGGCAAACGCCCCCACAGTCCATACCAATCTGACCATGGGGTAAAATTACTTCCTGACCCCAAATATGGCAATTCCCAAATATGGAGTTCAAGACCCTTTAGCTAGGAACCTCTTGGTTTTGCCTGTAGCAGGAAAATTGGCACGCTTCACTTAAG